TCTCTCCTGGCTTCTCAATGGTTTCCTGCCCCAAAACACTTAATGACCCACCAACCCACCAGTAGCAACAATCAGATTTCAAGGCCGCTAATCCTCTTTTGCAAAATATATTGGCTCAGTTGTCTTGGGTAGAGGGTTAGGCCAGATTCACCCTAGGACACCCAAAAAGGACAAAAACTTAAACAAAAGTTCCCTCCACTCAGTAGACCTCCCAATTTTTTTAGGCTTAGATGGGTTACTGTCTGCCAGTATCTTTCGTTCTTAGCTGTAGGACTTTTTAGGCTTCTGCCACAGACCAATTTAGACTCTGTAGGCCCAGATGATGAGTAGCTACCTTTCATTTTATTCTGCCTCTGCCACAGTCTAGTGTAGATAAGTCCAGATGGGTGGCAACCTTTCAGCTACTTCAGCCTCTGCCACAGGCTGTTGTAGGTTCTGTAGGCACAGATGGTTGGCTAACTCTCAGTTTCTTCAGCCTCTGTCACAGGCCAGTGTATATTTAATAGGCCCAGAAGGGTGGCTACTTTTCAGTTACTTCAGCCTCTGCCATAGGCCAGTGTAGATTTGGTAGGCCCAGATGGTTGGCTAACTTTCAGCTTCTTCATCCTCTGCCAAAGGCTAGTGTAGATTCTATAGACCCAGATGGGTGGCTACCTTTCAGCTACTTCAGCCTCAGCCACAGGCTAGTGTAGATTCTGTAGGCCCAGGTGGTTGGCTAGCTCAGTTTTTCTTCAGCCTCTGCCACAGGCTAGTGTAGATTCTGTAGGCCCAGGGGGTTTGCTAGCTCAGTTTCTTCAGCCTCTGTCACAGGCCAGTGTAGATTCTGTAGGCCCAGGGGGTTGGCTAACTCGCAGTTTCTTCAGCCTCTGCCACAGGCTAGTGTAGATTCTATAGATCCAGATGGGTGGCTACCTTTCAGCTACTTCAGCCTCAGCCACAGGCTAGTGTAGATTCTGTAGGCCCAGGGGGTTGGCTAACTCGCAGTTTCTTCAGCCTCTGCCACAGGCTAGTGTAGATTCTATAGATCCAGGCGGGTGGCTACCTTTAAGTTTCTTCAGCCTCTGTCACAGTCCAATGTAGATTCTGTAGGACCAGGTGAGTAGCTAGCTTTCAGTTTCCAGCATCTTTTGTTCTCTGCCTTAAGTCAGCTGTAGGACTTTCTAGGCTTTTGCCACAGACCAGTGTAGACTCTGTAGACCCCGATGATGAGTAGCTACCTTTCATTTATTGAGCCTCTGCCACAGTCTAGTGTAGATTCTGTAGGCCCAGATAGGTGGCAACCTTTCAGCTACTTCAGCCTCTGCCACAGGCCACTGTAGGTTATGAAGGCCCAGATGGTTGGCTAACTCAGTTTCTTCAGCCTCTGCCGAAGGCTAGTGTAGATTCTGTAGGCCCAGGTGGTTGGCTAACATTCATTTTCTTCAGCCTCTGACACAGGCCAGTGTATATTCTATAGGCCCAGATGGGTGGCTACCTTTCAGGTACTTCAGCCTCTGCCACAGGCCAATTTAGATTCTGTAGGCCCAGATGGTTGGGTAACTTTCAGTTTCTTCAGCCTTTGCCACAGGCCAGTGTAGGTTCTGTAGGCCCGGATGGGTGGCTAACTCTCAGTTTCCAGTATCTTTTGTTCTATGCTTTAGGTCAGCTGTAGGACTTTCTAGGCTTCTGCCACAGACCAGTTTAGACTCTGTAGGCCCAGATGATGAGTAGCTACCTTTCATTTTTTCAGCCTTTGCCACAGTCTAGTGTAGATTCTATAGGTCCAGGTGGGTGGCAACCTTTCAGCTACTTCAGCCTCTGTCACAGGCCAGTGTAGGTTCTGTAGGCCCAGGTGGTTGGCTAACATTCATTGTCTTCAGCCTCTGTCACAGGCCAGTGTAGGTTCTATACGCCCAGGTGGTTGGCTAACATTCATTGTCTTCAGCATCTGCCTCAGGCCAGTGTATATTCTATAGGCCCAGATGGTTGGCAACCTTTCAGGTACTTCAGCCTTTGCCACAGGCCAGTGTAGATTCTGTAGGCCCAGGGGGTTGACTAACTCTCAGCTTCTTCAGCCTCTGCCAAAGGCCAATGTAGATTCTCTAGGCCCAGACGTGTGGCTACATAGCTCCCAACTGTCCCTGATTTCGAAAGACTGTCCCTAATTTGGAACAAAGTCCCTCTGTCCCTTTTTCCTCCTCATTTGTCCCTCATTTTGGTCTGATCTAAATGGTTGTATATAAAATGCTCTAGTTATCTTTCATAAAGTGTTTCCCAGTGCTAAACCATTCATCCAGTTTCAAAATGTTTGCATTGGTAAATTTCAAAAGCCAATGTAAAGGAACAGAAGTGGTAAAATAATCACTTGTGGGTTTAACTGATCATTTATTTTGTATAATTATTTAAGGGGGGGCGGGCCAGAGGTTGTGTCCTATGCATACATATTTTTGCTAACAGGTGCCCCTCGTTCCTATCGCAAAAAGATGGGAGGTATGTGGCTAACTTTCGGTTACTTCAGCCTCTGTCACAGGTCAGTGTAGATTCTGTAGGCCCAGGTGGTTGGCCAACATTCAGTTTATTCTGCCTACTACAGGCCAGTTTAAGACTCTTCCAAGCTTCTGCCACAGGCCAGATTGGAGCATGCTGGGCCCAGGTCAGCTAGGAGAACATACACCTACCAAAACACTGTGTTGATGTCATCGTGTCAGTCTCATTCTCTGCACCATTGAGGACCGTCCACCACCAGGAGAAGACCAGGAAGAAGATGACACATTATGTCTCTTCTCATTGGACTACACCTTGCTGATTTTGGGTGTCCTGCTCCCATGCCCCAGTCTCCCACAGCTGACTTATTAAGGGGCATTAACTCCACCAACTACTTCACCACAGGAGAGGCTACACCTACCAAAACACTGTGTTAATGTCATCATGTCAGTCCCACTTTTCTGCACCATTGAGGACCGTCCACCACCAGGAGAAGACCAAGGAAGAAGATGACACATCACGTCTCTTCTCAAAGGACTACACCTTGCTGATCAGGGGTGTCCTGTTCCCATGCCCTAGCTCGGCTACACCTACCAAAACACTGTGCTGATGTCATCATGTCAGTCCCATTCTCTGCACCATTGAGGACCATCCACCAACAGAAGAAAACCAAGGAGGAAGATGACACATTGCGTCTCTTCACATAGGACTACACCTTACTGATCAGGGGTGTCCTGCTCCCATGCCCTAGCTCAGCTACACCTACAAAAACATTGTGTTGATGTCATCATGTCAGTCCCATTCTCTGCACCATTGAGGACCGTCCACCAACAGAAGAAGACCAAGGAGGAAGATGACACATTGCATCTCTTCACATAGGACTACACCTTGCTGATCAGGGGTGTCCTGCTCCCATGCCCTAGCTCGGCTACACCTACCAAAACACTTTGCTGATGTCATCATGTCAGTCCCATTCTCTGCACCATTGAGGACCATCCACCAGCAGGAGAAGACCAAGAAGGAAGATGACACATCACGTCTCTTCTCATAGGACTACACCTTGGTTATTAGGGGAGTCCTGCTCCCATACCTCAGTCCCCCACAGCTGGCATATTAAGGGGCATCAACTCCACCCTCTACATCACCACAGGAGGGGCTACACCTACCAAAACATTGTGATGATGTCATCATGTAAGTCCCATTCTCTGCACCATTGAGGACTATCCACTAGCAGGAGAAAACCAAGGAAGAAGATGACACATCATTTCTCTTCTCATAGGACTACACCTTGTTGATTAGGGGTGTCCTGCTCCCATCCCCAGTCCCCCCCAGTTGGCATATTAAGGGGCATCAACTCCACCAACTACATCACCACAGGAGGGGGCTACACCTACCAAAACATTGTGTTGATGTCATCATGTCAGTCCCATTCTGTCCACCATTGAGGACCGTCCATCAACAGAAGAAAACCAAGGAAGAAGATGACACATCACATCTCTTCTCATAGGACTACACCTTGGTTATTAGGGTAGTCCTGCTCCCATGCTCCAGTCTCCCACAGCTGACTTATTAAGGGGCATCAACTCCACACTACATCACCACAGGAGGGGCTACACCTACCAAAACACTGTGTTGATGTCATCATGTCAGTCCCATTCTCTGCACCCCTGAGGACCATCCACCACCAGGAGAAGACCAAGGAAGAAGATGAGACATCACATCTCTTCTCATAGGACTACACCTTGCTGATCAGGGTGTCCTGTTCCCATGCCCTAGCTCGGCTACACCTACCAAAACATTGTGTCGATGTCATCATGACAGTCCTATTCTCTGCACCATTGAAGACCGTCCACCACCAGGAGAAGACCAAGGAAGAAGATGACATATCACGTCACGTGACCAACTAGGAGACTTTAGGAAAAGACCAGTAAAAAACAATACAATACCACTTAAGTGAGGTAGGAGGACCACGGGGGGGTTAGAATAGAGTTGGCCTTTAGTCACCTAACCTGTAGGCAGCCATATTGTAGGTAGGTTGATGCCGGTGTCCTGCGGCTTCAACACTTTCTCAGTCATTTGCTCACAACAAGCAGGAGGCAAGTGAAGGGGGAACTCTTGATCTGCGAATGTGTTTTGAGTCACTGTCTCAGAACGCATTGGGTGAGCAAGCCAACCTATTGGGTCAGCAAGCCAACCCATTGGGTCAGCAAGCCAACTCATTAGGTCAACAAGCCAACCCACTGGGTCAGCAAGCCAACCTATTAGGTCAGCAAGCCAACCCATTGGGTCAGCAAGCCAACCTGCACGTTTTTTTTAGATGGTGGCCAGTAGGTACCCTCACGATAGGTTTCTGAGACATTGGGGCATGTGTAGACCAATCAATGTATCAACAGAGCAGATGACGGTACCCAGTGCACATTCAGAGGTTTGAGTATTTAGGTTAGGTTGATCCCGATCCACCCATCGAAAAAAAAAAAAAAAAAAACTAAAAACAACAAATAAAAATGCGAAATAATGGAATTTTATGTCTTTTGCAGAACTGAACACTAAACTGATGGACTTTGACACCTTCCTGCCCATGATGCAGCACATCTCCAGGTCCAAGGAGAAGGGAACCTACGAGGACTTTGTAGAGGGATTGCGCGTCTTCGACAAAGAAGGCAACGGCACCGTCATGGGCGCTGAGATCCGGCACGTCCTGGCGACTCTAGGTGTGGAGGCAAATTATTTAAGGTGGACTTTTGACCGTCCAAATCTTTATGCGTACATTCCTGACCTACAACAATTCTCAGAGAAGGTCCAACTTTTACCATTCCTTGGCACCAGTCAGTGGCCTTGCGTAGGCCGAGACACACATACCTGGATTCAGTTTGCAGGAGGTTCCTTCAACAGCTCACAGGTTTGGACTTTGACCCAAACCCCGTCGAAGTGAATGTGAGCCAAATCACATAAATTCTGACCATTATTAATAGGAATTAAACAAATAGCATGGAGAAAATGTACTACTGCTAGAAAAAATAAAAAGAAAAAAGAAATAAAATGCAAAATTTCTTTAAAAAGCATGCCTGGGTGATGCCTTAAGAAAAAAAAAGGGGCATGGGAATCCCCTTGTATATTCATATCTGAGCTTTAAAGGTCTGGTATTTATTTGGAGAGGACTTTTGGAGGTCCTCCAGTATACCTACTAAACCCATAAAGGTCTACTATGTATTTTTGGGGGTTTTTTTAACCTTTTTCCAATTTAAAAAAAAAAATGTAAATGCAAAATTTCTTTAAAAAACATGCCTAGGTGATGCCTTCAACCTGCCTGTGTGTTTGGGCGCTTGTAAAAATACAACCCACTACTTACAGAAGAAAAAAAAATTGCCAGTAAATAATGTTCCCATAGCAGCTTAATTTTCTTTGTAACAAAAAAACAAAAATTAAAATGCAAAATTTCTTTAAAAAGCATGCCTGGGTGATGCATTCAAAAAAAAAAAAAAAAGGGCATGGGAACCCCTTTGAATATATACAGTCAGGTCCATAAATATTGGGACATCGACACAATTCTAACATTTTTGGCTCTATACACCACCACAATGGATTTGAAATGAAACGAACAAGATGTGCTTTAACGGCACACTGTCAGCTTTAATTTGAGGGTATTTACATCCAAATCAGGTGAACAGTGTAGGAATTACAACAGTTTGCATATGTGCCTCCCACTTTTTAAGGTACCAAAAGTAATGGGACAGAATAATAATCATAAATCAAACTTTCACTTTTTAATACTTGGTTGCAAATCCTTTGCAGTCAATGACAGCCTGAAGTCTGGAACGCATAGACATCACCAGACGCTGGGTGTCATCCCTGGTGATGCTCTGCCAGGCCTCTACTGCAACTGTCTTCAGTTCCTGCTTGTTCTTGGGGCATTTTCCCTTCAGTTTTGTCTTCAGCAAGTGAAATGCTCCATCGGATTCAGGTCAGGTGATGGACTTGGCCATTGCAGAACATTCCACTTCTTCCCCTTAAAAAACTCTTTGGCTGCTTTTGCAGTCTGCTTTGGGTCATTGTCCATCTGCACTGTGAAGCGTCCAATGAGTTGTGAAGCATTTGGCTGAATATGAGCAGATAATATTCCCAAAACACTTCACAATTCATCCGGCTGCTTCTGTCAGCCGTCACATCATCAATAAATACAAGAGAAGCAGTTCCATTGGCAGCCATACATGCCCACGCCATGACACTACCACCACCATGATCACTGATGAGGTGGTATGCTGAGGACCATGAGCAGTTCCTTCTCCATCCTCTTCTCTTCCCATCACTCTGGTACAAGTTGATGTCGGTCTCATCTGTCCATAGGATGTTGTTCCAGAACTGTGAAGGCTTTTTTAGATGTTGTTTGGCAAACTCTAATCTGGCCTTCCTGTTTCTGAGGCTCACCAATGGTTTCCATTTTGTGGTGAACCCTCTGTATTCACTCTGGTGAAGTCTTCTCTTGATTGGTGACTTTGACACATACACCTACCTCCTGGAGAGTGTTCTTGATCTGGCCAACTGTTGTGAAGGGTGTTTTCTTCACCAGGGAAAGAATTCTTCGGTCATCCACCACAGTTCTTTTCCGTGGTCTTCCGGGTCTTTTGGTGTTGCTGAGCTTACTGGTGCGTTCCTTTTTTTTAAGAATGTTCCAAACAGTTGTTTTGGCGACGCCTAATGTTTTTGCTATCTCTCTGATGGGTTTGTTTTGTTTTTTCAGCCTAATGATGGCTTCACTGATAGTGACAGCTCTTTGGATCTCATCTTCAGAGTTGACAGCAACAGATTCCAAATGCAATTAGCACACTTGAAATGAACTCTGGACCTTTTATCTGCTCATTGTAATTGGGATAATGAGGGAATAACACACACCTGGCCAAGGAACAGCTGAGAAGCCAATTGTCCCATTACTTTTGGTCCCTTAACAAGTGGGAGGCACATATGCAAACTGTTGTAATTCCTACACCGTTCACCTGATTTGGATGTAAATACCCTCAAATTAAAGCTGACAGTCTGCCGTTAAAGCACATCTTGTTCGTTTCATTTCAAATCCATTGTGGTGGAGTATAGAGCCAAAAATGTTACAATTGTGTCCATGTCCCAATATTTATGGACCTGACTGTATATCTGAGCTTTAAAGGTCTGGTATTTATTTGGAGGGGACTTTTGGAGGCCCCCCAGTATACCTACTAAACCCATAAAGGTCTACTATGTATTTTGGGGGGCTTTTTAACCTTTTTCCAATTAAAAAAAAAAAAGTTAAATGCTAAATTTCTTTAAAAAGCATGCCTGGGCGATGCCTTCAACCTGCCTGTGTGTTTGGGCACATTTAAAAATAAAACCCACTAGTAACAGAAGAAAAAAAAATAAATTGACAGTAAATAACGTTCCCTTAGCAGCTTAATTTTCTTTGTACAAAAAAAAAAAAAGAAAAAGGTCACGGGAACCCCTTCAGATATACATATCTGAGCTTTAAAGGTCTGGTATTTATTTGGAGGGGACTTTTGGAGGTCCCCCAGTATACAGTGAGGAACAGAAGTATGTGAACCCCCTGCGAATTCTGCAAGTTCTCCCACTTCTCCATCATGGAGGGTCTGACATTCACATTGCAGGGGATTCCCACTCTGAGGACAGAATTCAGGAGATCACATTGTATGATTTGTAAAGAATGTATTTGTCTTGCACGGCTGAACAGAAGTATTTGAACCCCTGAGAAGATCCGTGTTAATATTTGGTACAGAAGCCTTTGTCTGCAATTAAAGAGGTCAGACGTTTCCTGTAGTCCCTGACCAGGTTTGCACTGCAACAGGGATTTAGGCCGACTCCTCCACACCGATCTCCTCTACATCTGTCAGGTTTCGGGGCTGTCGCTGAGCAACATGGAGTTTCAGCTCCCTCCAAAGATGTTCTATTGGATTTAGGTCTGGCTAGGCCACTCCAGAACCTTGATATGCTTCTTACGGAGCCACTCCTTGGTTCTCCTGGCTGTGTGCTTCGGGTCGTTGTCATGTTGGAAGACCCAGCCACCACCCATCTTCAATGCTCTGACTGAGGGAAGGAGGTTGTTGCTCAAAATCTCACAATAAAAGGCCCCATTCATCCTCTCCTTAATACAGTGCAGTCATCCTGTCCCCTTCGCAGAAAAGCACCCCCAAAGCATGATGTTACCACCACCATGCTTCACAGTAGGGATGGTGTTCTTGGGATGCAACTCGTCCTTCTTTTTCCTCCAAACACGACGAGTGAAGTTTAGACCAAGAAGTTCTACTTTGGTCTCATCTGACCACATGACTTTCTCCCATGCCTCCTCTGGATCATCCAGATGGTCATTGGCAACCTTCAGACGGGCCTGGACACGTGATGACTGGAGCAGGGAAACCTTCAGACGGGCCTGGACATGTGATGACTGGAGCAGGGGAACCTTCAGACGGGCCTGGACATGTGATGACTGGAGCAGGGGAACCTTCAGACGGGCCTTAACATGTGATGACTGGAGCAGGGGAACCTTCAGACGGGCCTGGACATGTGATGACTGGAGCAGGGGAACCTTCAGACGGGCCTGGACACGTGATGACTTGAGCAGGGGAACCTTCCGTGCAATGCATGATTGGAAACCATGACGGCGTAGTGTTCTACCGACAGTGACCTGTGAAACTGTGGTCCCAGCTCTCTTCATGTCATTGACCAGCTCCTCCCTTGTAGTTCTGGGCTGATTCCTCACCTTTCTTCTCATCAGTGATCCCCCACGAGGGGAGATCTTTCATGGAGCCCCAGTCCGAGGGAGACTGACAGTCGTCTTTAGCCTCTTCCATTGTCTAACAATTGCTCCAACAGTTGATCTATTTTCACCAAGCTGCTTGGCAATTGCCCCGTAGCCCTTTCCAGCCTTGTGGAGGTCCACAATTTTGTCTCTGGTGTCTGTTGACAGCTCTTTCGTCTTGCCCATGGTAGTAGTTGGCGTCTGACTGACTGTGGGGTGGACAGGTGACTTTAAAGAGCTCAGACAGGTGCTACTAAGTTAGATGAATGAGTGGAGTAGAGGGGGACTTTATAAAGGCGCAGTAACAGATCTTTGAGAGCCAGAATTCTTGCTGTTTCTTAGGTGTTCAAATACTTCTGTTCAGCCGTGCGAGACAAATACATTCTTTACAAATCATACAATGTGATCTCCTGAATTTTTAAAAAAAATTCTGTCTCTCAGAGTGGGAATGCCCCTACAATGTAAATTTCAGACCCTCCATGATGGAGAAGTGGGAGAACTTGCAAAATCGCAGGGGGTTCAAATACTTCTGTTCCTCACTGTACATACTAAACCCATAAAGGTCTACTATGTATTTTAGGGGGACTTTTTAACCTTTTTCCGATTAAAAAAAAATGCTTGCTGGGAAATGTTAATTACCAGAATTTGGTTTTCTTTTGAAACTATCATTTTTGTTGTAGTTCATCTACAGCAGAATTGAGAAAAAAGCAGAAAAAAAATTTGTGGGGTCCACCCCAAAATTTTTACCAGAACTTTCATGCATGATGAAGGTTTTTAAGGGGGAGCCCCATGTAAAAAAAATGTAGTTCCATTTCCAGTCCATCTGTGAAGCATGTCCCTTCCTACTTCACAGCTTACACGTGAGTTGATGCATTTATGAGGGACACTGCTGAGCTCATGCCCTCTCCACCCGCCCAGCGTACCTGTGCCACATCACACCCAGTGACAGAACATGGTCCCGCCTAGCACCTAGCGCGGACCTCGTACATGCTCTCACTTATGGTAACTCCCTCAGCCTTGCCGTACCCCCTGATAAAGCTGTGGGTCTCCGTATTGGTTTGGTCCTGCCTAGCACCTAGCGTGGACCTTCGATCATGCTCTCACTTTTGGTAACTCCATCAGCCTTGCCGTACCCCCTGGTGAAGCTGCGGGTC